TCCCCGACAAAATAAATTATTATTATTGAGTCATAGTTATATCAATAATTCTTAACCATCAAATGTATATAAATCATTTGGCCAACTAATTATTATTAATGATAAATAATAATTGTAATTCAATAATTATCGATAATCAGGAAAAAAATCTTTACTCAGAGTAGTACATTTATAAATAAGTAAGTTTGCACACAATTTCAGTTCCCTATTTACATTAGAGAAAGTCATATTGATAAGCAGTAACCAGCCAACAATTACAAGGAGTCGGGAGACATCTCCCGTCACGCAGGGTGCAGTCGCACCTCCACAGATCTCCAGTATCATCTTTTGATACTGGTAATGGCTCGAAAGGGCCACCACTTACGGGCTATTCATGCCCGTGCCACCTTTTGGGTGGCTTAATCTTCATCAATCAATTAATCAACAATTACAAACAAGGCGCCATTCATTTGTTATCAGCAAAAATAGACCGCGGTACAATCTTACGGGTTATTCATGCCCGTGCCACCTTTAGGGTGATACAATCATCTTATTTTCGGCAGAATGGATCATCCCTTTAGGCTGTGGGATAGAGGCTTTGTTCTTAACAGAGTTGTTGATTTGTGGAACCAATTACCGCGTAACATAATAGAAGTAGGATCCCTTGAGTGTTTCAAGCGTAGGGTAGACATATATATGAATGAGATTAGGTTGTTATAAATAGGAGCTGCTTCGTATGGGCCAATAGGCTCTTCTGCAGTTACCTTTATTCTTATGTTCCTATATTGACAAAACAGATGTGTAAGCCACATCCATATTTTTCGCCTATTTCAAACAACTGACGTTCGATTTAAAGTGAAACTAAAATTGCAGAGATTATAGTTGCTGGTAGACCTGTCCTGTCGCATAATACATCGTATTTTGACGTAAACCCCCACTAGCCCTTGTCATTGACCTACTAGCCCTTGTCATTGACCTACTAGCCCTTGTCATTGACCTACTAGCCCTTGACATTGACCTACTAGCCCTTGTCATTTACCTACTAGCCCTTGTCATTTACCTACTAGCCCTTGACATTGACCTACTAGCCCTTGACATTGACCTACTAGCCCTTGACATTGACCTACTAGCCCTTGTCATTGACCTACTAGCCCTTGTCATTGACCTACTAGCCCTTGCCATTGACCTACTAGCCCTTGACATTGACCTACTAGCCCTTGTCATTGACCTACTAGCCCTTGTCATTGACCTACTAGCCCTCGCCATTGACCTACTAGCCCTTGTCATTGACCTACTAGCCCTTGTCATTGACCTACTAGCCCTTGTCATTGACCTACTAGCCCTTGTCATTGACCTACTAGCCCTTGTCATTGACCTACTAGCCCTTGTCATTGACCTACTAGCCCTTGTCATTGACCTACTAGCCCTTGTCATTGACCAGAGAGACGGGGACCCAGGATGTGTACACAGTAAACAAAATAGGAGCGTTAGCCCATCACTTGGGACGCCAGAGATCAGAGATGACAGTCTGTGAGGAAGTGGGGCAAGAGATACCAAGGACACAGCTGGAACCGAACAGTCTCCGTGGTGTAGTGGTAAGACACTCGCCTGGCGTTCCGCGAGCGCTTTGTCATGGGTTCGTATCCTGGCCGGGGAGGATTTACTGGGCGCAATTCCTTAACTGTAGCCTCTGTTTAACGCAACAGTAAAATGTGTACTTGGATGAAAAAACGAGTCTTCGCGGCGGGGATCGTATTCCAGGGACCTGCCCGAAACGCTACGCGTACTAGTGGTTGTACAAGAATGTAACAACTCTTGTATTCAGAGCTTGGTGGGTTGGGGCATGAATCAAGGCGTATCGAGCTGGTCTTAGAACTGATGGGAATGACATACAAGTAAATCTAACAATCATTTCAAGCAGCTACTGGACACAAAACTACTTTCAAGACTCTACACATGTAGGAAAGAGCATGTTAGTGAATGGGGGAGTGTGTAGAGGATACACAACTAGGATGTGAAAGCCTATAGCGAAATGTTGTATGTTGACCAGACCACACACTAGAAGGTAGAGGGGACGAAGACATTTCAGTTCGGTCACAATCGACTTGAGAATAGTCCAGGACGGACCGAAACGTCGTCGTCCCTTCACCTTCTAGTGTGTGGTCTGGTCAACATACTTCAGCCACGTTATTGCGACTCCTCGTCTGTATATTGCGAGAATGTACCGTGGAAACCCAGAGCTAACGTAATAACCGAGATGGTAGATAATTTTAATGGTATTATCTCAAGATAGCAAGAAATTATACAAGCATGTAAGTGGAAAATACCTTCAATATGTTCCCAATGCAAGTCATTGATTGCCACGCTGGCTTCTAGTACAGCAAGCACAGGAGTCAATACTCGTGTATTATCCATCCGTGCCCCCTTGTTCTATTAGCATTCATTGTAAACATTTCCTCTTAATCCACCCTGTCAAACCCCCATAAATATTTTATACGTCAATATCATGTCTCCTCTCCCT